AACTGTAGTTTGCTTCCAGATAATTTGATTGCAAAGAAGGGTTATATTTGTCCCGTGAACTGTTCACTGAAAACCATTTGCCTTGCTTAGATACCAAACACTAGTATCTGAGATGCTGCAGATTTCTATTGGCAAGGGGAGGAACATTTGATGGTGCTATATTCCCCAGTATTAGGGCAAAAGCAAAGCAGTGCCACAGTTTGCTTTGATGTATTGCCTGTGGACAGGCGTTATACACAGAATTCTCTTTATTTAGAAGCCTTTGAAGTGTAGAAGCAAAATAAATATGAGTAGTATTTAGTGAAATGAAATTATTTCTGAGTTAAAAAGGGTCTTGTTGTCAAACACTCACAATAATTCTGGCATATTCCATTGACTTCAGAGGCACTGGTTGTATGAATATGTGTTGCAGGAACCCTTAACATTTGACTGACAATCTGTGAGCAGATAAAATGGATGCCTGTGTGGTATCTCTTAACTTGTTCTTTTCTCTGACATTTGCAGTCATTACCATTGCTTCTCCTGGATACATCCAGCATGTAAAGCAGGCTTAAACCAGATTGTACTTTTTAATTTTCATTTTAAATAGTTTTCATGATAAATTACTGTACTATTTGTCAATGGCTCTCTTATAAATCAGATGCAGAAAGTAATACATGCTACAACAAAGAACCATTCAGAATAGCATTTTTGGTAACAGAACAAGAAAAATGATATGTCATTTTCCCCTAATTGTGCCCGTTTTACCCTAATTGTCCACCCCTCTCTCAGCTTAATTTTTTAATAGCTGGTCCAAACCTGTGAGAACTCTGTGCTAATAACTTCACAGGAACTATTTGTGAAATCATGGACTAAATATAGACATTGGATTTATGACGCATTATAATGTGCCTAACACTGGACTCCCCAGGTACCTCTCCATCTCACCCACTGACTCCTCAATTTACATCTTCACTGACTGCTTTTCTTGCATGCACACAAGCCTCTGGCTTCTCTACTATTCATGCTATACAGGAAGAGCACACACCAACTGCAGATGTTTCCTCAGCCTGACAAAGGGAATTTATACCCTAAAGCTTGCCAAGAAGAATTTTTCCAACTATTTGAGTTGGTCTAATAAAAGATATCAGGTTTACCCAAAGAACCTTGTCTGCCTTTGTCCTTAGACCAACATGGCTACAACCTATACCCCAAGAATTATTTGCAAATGCTCACAATTTCCTTGTAACTCTCTTGATATTGGCAGTTCTTCTTCAAGCTCCAGATCCAGGAGTCCTGTGATTATATAGGAAAATAATATTTTTTTTTAAAAAATCCAAGTGATAGGGAGAGAACAGTCTATATGGTTGTGGGAAAAACCCCAGACTTGGAAATGTGACCTACTTACATTCTAAAGGCAGAAAGTAAGAAGCCCCAGTGTGTTAAAACCATCTCATGGTTTTAAGCCAATCTTCAGATTTTTCTGACCCATTATTTCCTGTCACATCTCTCTTAGAGTGCTTAATCTGTCTTTCCAGTTCAGGTTTAAAATCCACTTCTCTCCCGCTGGCTAAAAGCTTGCTCCCCCATAATGTAAAGAGCTCAATACCTGTGGTGTATGCAATTTTAAGGACCAATTTTTTTTTCCATCCAGATAGATGATTAGAAACCCTCCAAATTACAGAATATTTTGCTAAAGCTGCAGATCTTTGCTTTGGATAACTTTCCTGGTTGTTAATGGACTGTGATGAGAGATATTCATCTTGAGCCAAGAGATGGATGATAGTATTGAGTTCCGTTATTTATCCATTGAGCTTTCAACAAAGGGAGCTCTATTATAGCTCTTGCTATAATAGTTGTTTAATAGTTGATAGCAAAAGGCCTAAGCATTTTTAATAATTTAAATTATTTTGCCTTTTCAAGAGTGTTTCCCCAGTAGCATTGCTAGAAAATATGTTAAAAACCATATGACTTCACAGAAAACTGAAAGTCCAACTCTCACAATGTTATTATGGGTGATACCTGGAGTCAGGTGAATCTACATCTCAGATTTGTTAAAAATAAGTTTCTACTCCACATGGTTTGGAAGCAAAGTTAAAAAAAATTGATCCCTAACAAAGCAAAAGGCAACAAATAACACTCAACACTTATTAATTTATGAAATCCAGTGATATTAAGGTGATCTGATTATTTCAAGAGGCTTTCTAATTCATGATTGTTAGATGTTAGAACCCTTTAAATGCTTACAAGGGTAACTTTATGTATGTTTGCTGTTCAGACAATATCAACTGCATTGCCAGTAATGTCATTAGCTTATATAACAATATATTCTTAGGGAAGAGTTGTCTTGTTTCTTTTTCCTTTGAAATCCAAAGTCATTTTCAATTGATGCAGGCCCAGCAGGCACAGATATTCAACTAGAAGTGAGAATCAGTTCACACACTGTTCAGCTTACCTTCCAAGATAAATGACTCAATTGCTATAATATTTTTTGAACAACGCTTCCTTTATTTGAGTTCCTTTTCCTGGAAATAATTTGTGATAATATCTGACTCCCCACCTATGCCACAATGCCCCTTCCGTGTCTTCCTTCCCATCGTTTCTGTAGTGCACCCAGGCTCTTGCAGAGCATATAGTGAGACTATGATCCTTGCAGTGTCTTATAATACCACACATGCACCACTGTGTGAAAATAGAAGCCACAACAAAAAAGAAAAACCATATTAGAGAAGAATGTAGTCATTAATTGTATAATGGAGGGGAATATCTGTTCACTGTACTCAATCATGGACCTTAGCTTGGTCTGCCTTCTACTGCTCAGGCACCCTAAAATATCCAGAAAGCAGCCCTCCAGTGAAAGGCAATCACAAGTGTCAAAAAGCAAATAGCATTGGCTCTAAATAATTTTCTCCCTCTCTTTTGTTATAGTGGACAGGTCAGATCAGGCCAGGGAGTGGCAGAACTCTTAAGGCTCCGGAGCTACACAAAGGTGTACTAGGAGCTATCTTGATCCCTGATAAAGCCAGGATGATGGGAGAGAAAAGAGCCACCTTCTATTTGATTATTAAGCACAAAGGGAAGGTTCTTTGGAGGCTCATAACATGCACTTCAGCAAGACAGACAGAAAACACCCGTTAGCCCAACATAGAGAAAGTTGTATATAAAAAATGCCCCCTGAATGTATCTTATAGATCTTCTCTTAGCCCATACATATGTCAAGCTTTACAAAAAAAACCCCCAAACAAAACAAACCCCCAACAATGCTGTGGGAGTTTCTTCTCTCCTGGGGTGGGCCTAAGTATCATATCTGTTGATACAAGTTTTATATAGGTATTCTTTTAATTAGGAATGATGAAAAGAGACCATGAGACAGACCAATAGTGGAAAAAGCTATCCAAAACAAACCAAGTTGAGAATAAAGAAAAAGCCTTAGAAGATCAATGCCATACCTTATAAGAAATTGCTAATATGAAATATTTTTATTACATTTGTCCTCCACAGCAGCATCTCCTGTTACAGGATAGTAGTAACAAAACCAGCTGAATGGACTGATTACCATCCCTTTGTTAGGCAGTGTGGTATATAAACCTACCAGTAATAAATAAATAAGTACATGAGACAGATCACGACTCAAAGCCAAATGATATGGGAGCAAGAATGCAGGCCAGAATAGTAAGAGGAAAACTGATTCTACTTAGAAAAGTTACGTGTTCTTAAATCAGCTGGGTTTGAAAAATGTCATCCAAGAGTACTAAGGAACTGGGCAGTGGTCTCTGAGTACTTCTGAAGGATGGCTGAGGTTCAAGAAAACTAGACCAAGGCAAATATAGGGCTAGTTTTTAAAATATAAAACAAGAAGGATCATGAAAGTATAGAAAGATAACAGAACAAATAATCAATAATGTATAAACTCCTTGAAGAAAGCAAAGTGATAAAAAACAGCTGGTGTGGATTTGTTAAGAGCAACTCATGTCAAACCAATTTAGCTTCCTTCAAAACTAGGTAACTGGCCTTGTAAATATGGGAGAAACAGTAGACATTCTGTATCTGGACATCAGTGAGACTTTTGACTTTATGTCACATGATATCCTTTTAAACAAACTAGGGAAATATGATCTAGAGGAAACTATTGTAAGGCACGTATACAACTGGTTGGAAAACCATACTAAAAGTGGAGTTGTTAGCAGCTTGCTCTCAAATTGGAAGGATATGCCAAGTGAGATTCTAGAGGTGGTATTCCAGAGATATCCTATGTGGTATTCTTCAATATTTTCCTTAATGATTTATGTGAAGGGATTGAGAGACCACATATTAAATGTGAAGTCAATACCAACCTGAGAGAGGTTGCAAGACCATTGGAGGATAGGTTTACAGCTCAAAATAATCTTTAAATAATCTTTAAAAACTGGAGAAATGGTAAGAAATAAATAGGATTAAATTCAATAATAACAAATGCAAAACAGTTCTCTAAGGCAGAATTAACAACTCAACAAATGTAAGATGAAAAATTATGTATAGACAGCAGAAAAGCATGTAAGAGTTACATACAGTAAGTCACAAGCTGAGTATGAGCCAGCAATGTCAAAATATTCCAAAAAACCCCTGCACCACACTGAGATTAAAAAGCAGGAAATCCTTCTGCTCTATTCAGCACTCATAAGGTCTAACTGGAGGATTGTGACCAGCTTTGGATACTGGAAGTCAAGAAAGATGTGATCCAATTAGAAAAGAGTCCAAAGGACAGCAACAAACATGACCAGAGGTCTAGGAAATATAACCTATGATGAAAGATTAAAGGATTTGGACTTGTATAACCTAAAGAAGGGATGACTGAGAGAAGACATGATAAAATACTTAGAATATGTAAACAGTCACTGTAAAGACAAAGGGAACTGCAAACAATTCTCCATGTCTTCTGGGGTTAGAACAAGAAATGACAGGCTTAAAGTGTAGCATTTTCTATATGACATTGACATTCCTGGAACTGCCTGGGTTATTTTGTTGATAGGAGAATCACTTACGTAGTGCTAGTTAGACTTCATCATTCCCTGAATCTCTTCTCCAGCTCAGACTCTCTTCTTCTGCAAAGCATGAGAGTCTTACTAATACACAACTTGTTTATATGCTATCATCACTGAGTGAAAAGCAATTTTGGCTGAAGTGCTAGTCATAGAATCAGAAAATGAGGGTTGGAAGGGGCCTCACAGGGTTGTCTAATCTAGGGTCTCCCAACCTTTTCCAGCCCAAGGCACACTTACATTAATAAAAATGTTCCATGTCACTCCTGTTAAGGCATTCCCCATCCCCATACTTATGAGCTCATTGTACCTTATATCCGTGGGAAAATTCCATGGCACAGCTGTTCTGCTCAGCTGGTTCACTCTCTCCCCCACAGACAACACATACTTTGGTGAATATCTCATTGATGCGGCTTATATGTTAGCACTAGATAGTTGGAGACATTTCCTCATTATTCCAAAATTCTCGCAGCATGCCAGGGAGCTATTTGCAGCACACTGGTGTGCCATGAATGGCACACCAGCTGAAAAGCACTGATCTAATCCAACCCTCTCCTCAAAGCAGAACCATTCCCAACTAGATCATTCCAGCCAGGGCTTTGTTGAGCTGAGTCTTAAAAACCTCCAAGGATAGAAATTCCACCACCTCCCTAGGTAACCCGTACCAGTGCTTTACCACCCTCCTAGTGAGACAGTTTTTCCTAATATTCAACCTAAACTTCCTTTGCTGCAACCTGAAACCATTTCTCCTTGTTTGGTCATTTGTCACTAGCGAAAACAATCTAGCTCCATCTTCCAGCCTTTACCTACCTAAGAGGATCCACCCTTTAGGTAGTTAAAGGCTGCTATCAAAACCCCCTTTAGTCTTTTCTTCTGCAGACTAAGCCCAAGTCCCACAGCCTCTCCTCAGAAGTCATGTGCCCCAGCACCCTAACCATTTTCTTTGCCTTCCACTGGACTATCTCCAACTTGTCCACATTGTTTCTGTACTGGACAGCACAAAACTGGACACAGTTCTCCAGGTGTGGCCTCACCAGTGCCAGATACAGGGAAATAATTACTTACTTTGATCTGCTGGCAACACTCTTACTAATGCAGCCTGGTATGCTGTTAACCTTCTTGGAAACAAGGGCATACTGTTGACTCATATCCAGCTTATTGTTTATTGTAACCCACAGGTCCTTTTCTGCAGAGCTGCTCATTAGCCAGTTAATTCTCAGCCTGTATTGGTGCATCACCATCCTAAGTGCAGGACTTTGCACTTGTCCTTGCTGACCCTCATGAAATTTCTTTTGGCCCAATCCTCCAATTCGTCTAGGTCACTCTGAATCCTAGGCCTACCATCCAGTGTATCTACTACTCCCCCCAGGTTGGTGTCATCTGCAGACTTGCTGAGGGTGTACTCTATGCCATCTTCCAGATTGTTAATGAAGATATTGAATAAAACCAGCCCCAGGACCAACCCCTGGGGCACTCTACTTGATACCAGCTGCCAACTACACCTCAAGCCATCAATCACTACCTGTTGAGCCTGACGATCCAGTCAGCTTTCTATCCACCTTTCAGTCCATTGATCCAACTCATTCCCTTACCTTGTTTGCAAGAATGCTGTGGTAGACCATATCAGAAGGCTTGCTGAAGTCAAGGTATATCATTTCCATTGCTTTTCTTGAATCCAAAGAGCCAGTCATCTCATCATAGAAGTCAATCAGGTTGGTCAGGAATGATTTCCCCTTGGTGAATCCATGCTGACCCTTCCTGATCACTTACTTCTCCAAGTGCTTAGAAATGGATTCCTTGAGGACGTGCTCCATGATTTATCTGGGGAGAGGTGAGGCTGACTGTTCTATAGTCCCCTGGATCCTCCTCCTTTCCTTTCTTAAAGATGGGCATAATATTTTCTCTTTTCCAATTGTCTGGGACCTCCCCCAGTCACCACAAGTTTTCAGAGATAATAGTCAGTGGCTCTGCAATCACATCAGCCAACTTCCTCAGCATCTTCAGATGCATCGCATCTGGCCCCATGAATTCGTACATGTCCAGCTTTTCTAAATAGTCCCTAATCTGTTGTTTCACTGTTGAGGGCTGCTCACCTCCTCCCCAAACTATGTTGCCAGGTGTAGTAGTCTGGGAGCTTACCTGGCCTGTGAAGATTGAGGTAAAAAAGGCATTGAGCGCTTCTGCCTTTTCCGCATCCATGGGCCACATGTTCAAAATCACTGATTTAAAACAGTAGGGCTTAGTCCTAAAGATGCCACTTAGCAGCTTTCAAGAACAAATGATTCCATTCTTCAGCAAACAATGACCCAGGAGCTGGCTTTAGGCAAGTCTTCTGCAATTTAGTGAAGAGATAACGTAACATTATTCAATTATAATGGTCCCCAGTGCTGCTCAACAAACACTAAGGCAAAGCCAAGACATTCATTTTCAAAGCAGGAGACAGTTAGGCTGTGACATAATGGCTATTTCAGTTACTATATATCCATTGCATGGAATAATTTATGTAAATACAATTACAGCATGGAGTACAACAACAGGTAATCTCTGGCCTAGAAAACGGAAACGTGTTTTGCCTTAGAATCAAAATCAGAACATACTTATGTATGCCTTTACCTTCTTGAGTCAGCCAACTTCTGAAACCAGAACATATCAGGTTTGGATTTTTTAAATCTCCGGTCAGTACTGACTGACAGAGGGTAGCACATATTTTACCCCTGTTTTATTGCCTGAATGTTGGCTTTCAGAAATTTTTTAAAGTGCCTCTCAGAAACGTTTATAAGAGTGTTTCTGTGAGCATGGCCAATGATAATTAATGAACAGTTCATTGATCTGATAGCATTTCTGGTTCCAGAACACAGAGTAGCCATTACACAAAGAACCTGCAGTGTCACCAATCAGTTTATTATCATTATTTATTTCTAGAGCACAACAGTCCTGCATGAGCCTTTATAGATAATGACAGGCCTATGCTCCAGGCCCAAGATTCAATGGGCACATCCCCACATGCGGGGGCATGCAAATTTGTGCTGCTGCTTTTTGCCACTGTGCATGCCTCTGCATGTGGGGTTAGTGCAGGGCAAATTGTCCTAGCGCAGGGGAAGCTGAGGAGTCCTACCTAGAGTCCTGGGGGCCTCCTGGGCCAGCTGTGGCATCAATGTGGCCACTCAGAGCTTGGCCAGGAGACAGAGTGTCAGCCAGACTCCAGTTTCTGGTGCTGCATGCTGCGACCACATGTGCTGTGCCACCTTTTTAGCACCCTTTTTTTTTTACACCATGATTTCCTAGTGCCAAAAAAACCACTGTGCTGCAAATCAGCAGTGCAGCGAATAGGTGCAGGTGCACTGCATGCAGTTTGTAGCACCTCAACACTGGTTTGAGGTGTTACAAACCACACATGTTCACTTGTCAGGACATGCCCAATGTAGGTAAAGCTAAGCATATGCGTAAGTGTTTGCTGCACCAATACCTATAAATTAAATTTCACGAATGCTAAGTCCTTCCTATAAATTAATGATTACCTGCAAGTTAATGCTTACCAAGCACTCAGAGCTTTACGAGACTGAATCCAAACATAGTTTCATAGTTTCTAGGGTCGGAAGGGACCTGAGTAGATCATCTAGTCTGACCCCCTGCCATGGCAGGAAAGAGTACTGGGGTCAAACGACCCCAGCAAGGTGTTCATCTACCCTCCTCTTAAAAACCCCCAGGGTAGGAGCC